GGCGAGACCCAGCCAAATTTTGACCTCAGGCACCCAGTTCTAATGCCCAAACTGAGAACAAGTCTAGCCACTCTTCCCGCGCCAGAGAAGGAGAAGGGAGAAAGCAGAAATTAAAAATGAGAAAGGCTGGACCCGGGTGTTTTAAATATCCGGCTCCAGTAAGTGGAACCGGGGTGGAAGTCTACCATCCAAAAAAACCAAACGAGGCTGGACGTCCTACGCCGGCTTTTGGTCTGAAGCACCTCCTCAGGCTCCGCGTTTCCTGGTGCCATGGCCGTTTGCGTTGTGGTTGTCTGGAGCGCACAGTTCAAGGGCTAGGACAGAAACGATCGCCTTCCAGTTGGAACTGCGTGCTGGTGATTAGGCGCTGCTCAACCATCGGGGCGTGCTTGGGTGCGGAATCGCTGCTGCGGTTGGTTGGACGCGGTTGGACTTACTCTCCGTTTGATGATCTTGAGGATCAGCTGTAGGGTCTTCGGTGCAAGAAGTGGAGGATCTGGCAGGTTTCGCGTAGACAGTTTTTACTTTGTCGCGGTCTTTCAAAGTCTTTAACAAAGGTCATAGGTAAGGGATGACATTGCTCTATTAGGACTTTATTTTGCTGAGTGGGACATGGGCCTCCTTTCAAGTGAACAGCACTTACGCTCTCCTACGTGGTGTTAAATTATCGGAAGTACATGATGATTTGAATAGCGTCATTGACCTTTTCCCCACCATTTTGTGATATCTGTCATATTACTTTGCAACTTTAAGGCTACTGCATGTCAGCTGAATTGCTGTTGTGGCTCTGGTGTAGCCAGTGGGAGTTCTGTGAAGAAAAACTTTGACCCGAAAAAGTTAGTGATACAGTTTTGTATCAGTAATTTCTGGGATGCGTAGAGGATCTTTGCCTGTTCTTGTCTAAGTTTTCTTTAGCTGTTTGGATTAGTTCTACAAAGAAATAAAACTAGTACCTCTTGGTACAATGGTAGTCATGCTGGTTTAGCTCCTGTTCACCATTACAAAATTCTGCTTTTTTATGATCTTTGTGTTATTATAAGACGATGACATTTGGCAGTTGGATGTGGGCTGTGCGTCGAGTACTACTGCGCGGCGTACGAGTGGTGTTGCTCAATAGTAACCTGGCATGGAGGTTTTCTGTGAAAGAGCAGACTTACAACCCAGTCTGCAGTCAGTTTTAGGCCCAGTCACTTTGCAGGCATCTGCATGGATGAATGTCAATTGTTAGTATTGTGGTTCAAAGCCTCTGAATCACTTCCTTTCTTTGTTGCTCCATTTGAACTACTTTTTCTTATCATTGTATAATATGGAAGAATTGTATCCACCACAACAGGTAAGTGGTAGTATGGCTATTCATTTCTTGTTGTGTGAGGTGTTTGGAATATGACCTTCTCAGCTGGTCGTGGTGTAAAATCTTCATCTACATGTCAGACATGTGGGAAGAAGTATGTGCAGGGCTTAAATTATCAATCCGTCCACATTTTGCATCTCCACTGTGAAGTTCTCTGTGACGGAGGTCAGAGAAATGTCTAGAAAGCTGAAGAGTTTGTATGTCTAATATGTAGCAAGTGTGTAGATGATAGTAGCTTCACTTTAAAAACGACTCAGCTTTCCCTCCCTGCTCCTTCCCGTCCCAGAAAACCAACCGCATCAAGGGGACTCATTAGAAAGAAGCTCTTACAGCTGTGATGTCCCACACCAGTTAGCACGTGAGATCAAGCGCTTTGTGCCTTCAGAGCTGACACCTCCGGTCTTGCTTGGATACATCATTCTTTTCTGTCCTCCTGAACAAGTAAAACATTATGAGGATGGCAGGATGATCGTTAAACAGTTTCAGGATTTTAGCTTGAAGTACGTCGGGGCTATTGGTGTAAATAAATAATTTGGGATTTATGGTGACATTCCAAAGGTATACGACACTCCTCGCTCCTCTTTGACTCCATTAGTAGTATCTGAGTCCTTCAAGGGTTCTTACTGAACTTCAGCAAATAAGACAATAATTACTCTGCAATTTGAAGTATTTAATACGGGCTGCAAAATTATTTTTGTTGAAGGCAACCATGATCTAGGAGCCATGATAAAGCACATTTAAAAAGTGCAGTGTGTATTACCTATGCTAACTTCTTGTATTTTGGTGGCGCTCAAGATAACTTAAGTATCAAATTCTGAATTTTGGAAATAGATGTGCATATTTATTCTGTCAGTTCATTTTCTACTGTTGTGTTATTTTAAAAGGCTTTTCAACCTTTTAAACTTAAATTCAATTAATATCTTTATATTGAAGCAAAATAAGATCACAGACAAAACAACCTCAGTCTTTGGTTAACTAGGTGCCTCTTTCCAGTTAGAAATGGCTTCTAATCACCTGAAATACCTCCTATTATATTTCTTTTAGGACTGTGAATCAGGTACCAATTTATTCCAGAAGCAAATGAACACTCGTTAAAGAACTATGGTGCATATTCCTTAGAAATAACAAATTGAAAATAAAGGACTGACAAAAGGGTATTCACGATGGCCTTCAGTAAGGCAGCCCTGTCTTGCTTATGATTCAAATACACTGTTGGGTGCGTTGATAGGAAGTCCTCGTTAATTTTGGTAACAGACAGAAAGGGTAGTGTATTTCCTCTTAAATACCAAGTTTGTTGATTCACATTAAAGTTGTTGTCAGTAATTTGAAGTCATATTTTGTATTTTCCGTGTACAAGTTAGTTCTCGCATTATCTTAACCCAAATAGTTCTCTCACAAAGGCTCTGGTATTAAAAGTATATGAGATGGCTTTAGAGGGGAAAAATATTCAATATGAACAGTGCGCCTAACTTTATTTTTTCCCAGCACAGAGCATCCTGTTTACTGCAATAAAACTCCACTTTATTGATGAATATATGAATCAGTTATCAGTATCATAGAGATGCTCATGAAGCTGACTTTGATGCTTTTTTTTATTTAATATTTTGGGGGTTTATATACAATAAGCACAATTAGACATTCAGGGATGATGATGTTGAAATCTAAAGTCTTATTTTAACATTGTGTCAGATTATATTACAACACCTTAGGTAAGTGATCTAAAGATTATAGCTGAATCTCTGAAGGGGACTGTCACATGCATGTATTCCTGGATCACAATAATAAAATCAGTCTTTAAAACTTAGCAGTTTTTGCATTACAGTGTTGCTCTGTGTGGAAAAGTGATGTTTTAAAAAATGGCATCTTTTCACTGAAATGATGCAATGCCCGTGGATAGGAGGCTTGTCCACCATAGTGACAGGTTGCAATTAAATCTTAGCCTGTTTATGCAGCTACATAAGAATGAGCTGCAGTTTATTTTAGCTCACGTGATCCACCAGAAAAATAATGTATTTCCAGATGAGTTACAACATCTCCCACTTATATCTGGACTCAGGTACCAGCGAAGTCAAAACTTGAAGATGATAATGGCACAGTTTGGCCTGTTGAATGCCTATTACATGTGGAGACATGCAAATGGGAGAGAACATGGCTGAAGTTTTGGATGCTAGGTTTGGTTTGCAGATGCAGAGTTTAGGAAATAGTCTTTGCTTTACAAAGTGAGGAAATGCAAGTTTTTGAGCATTGTGGCTTTCCGTCTTGCATCTCTTTCAATGGAGTCACTTTTTAGGAGAGACACATACTTAAACCTGCTTATTGAACTGGAAAGCAGAAGTCTGTTTTTCAAGCGTTTCACACCTGTATCTTCTAAGACATAGGTGATTTGCAAGAAGATGGTATATTTAAGTAAACATTATTTCTCAACTTAAATCAACCTCTTTATTGATACAACAGTTCCATGTTGAAAGAGCAAGACTGATTTCACAAGCAGAAAACAAACAGTGACTTGAAGTAGGATCTGGGGAATATAGAACAGAGTTAAGCGCCTACTCCTTCTGTTGAATGGCGAGCTGTAGAATGGGTGCAATGCTGACTTCAGTAATACTGGGTCTGTTCCCACCAGCTAAGCATCTGGTCATCTGTCAGTAACACCTTGTTGGGTTTTTTTAGTGGAAAAGCTTTACTAACAACTATTTTAAAGAATCAGCTCTTTCTTTACACTTTGTCATTGATCTGTCCAAAATCAGTTTTTAGAAGACAACTGTCCTCAAAATAAGGTAACCTGTGAGCAGTATTACCCTCAGTCAGTACAAATCTAGTAATCTTGCTGCCTGATTAAAGTTTTCAGAACTCTATTCCAAATTAGGTGTGATTTGCAGTGCAGACAGTATTCTTCAGTCCTAAACTGGGCAGTCATCTGGACCATAGATTAAACTGAGGTATAAAGTCAATAATGAAGAGTTAACCTGAGGTCCGTTCTGTCCGGGTCTTGTAGTTCTCTACATTAAAGATGCTGAGTGAGTTTCAAAAGCGTAACTGGATAACTCTGGCAATATTCATTATCTTACTAAGAAATTCCAGTGTCAAGCCGCATATGGAACATTACAATGCACATAATGACTGTCTTGTTTACCTACAACGTCACTCTGTTACCACGATTCCAACTTCCTCATTACATTGTAAACTGCTTGGCATATTTTGGGATACTGAAACCCGATTGATTTCTTATGGATGTTACAGTTTTGTTACAATCTTGATGATGTGTTCTGTCTGGATCAAGTGTAGTTTATCTCAAGATACGTGTCATAAGCAAGCTCCTGCTTGGAAGGGCTACTGAAAATACGCTCTGCGTGACTCTTGAAAGCCTGAACACATGCAGTGATGATTTTCCCACCACCAAAGACACTGAACTGAACATGCTTCCCTTTGTTGTCCAGGTTCAGTGTTCATACCTATCTGAATTCAGATTAAAATGACATCAATTTTTGTAACACTTGCTGAATGACAGATATAGTGTTTTACTTTGGGTTGCTGTTTGATTAAAAATTAAAACCAGCAATAAACTCATTGTTTAGTAATTGTTTCTGAAAGTTAAAATATTTAGAGAGAGACAGTTCAAATAATGGCAAAATTTAAATGTCGTCTAATATTGAAAGAAATTGGCTAATTATTTTTTTAAAATCAATGGAGTAATTGTGATGGCCAGCTATGCTGTAAATAGCATTTCTTTGTCCATTCATTTGACTTTTAGCAGCATTACAGTTTCTTGGCTCTGTACATTTTCATCAGTGCAATCCCTTCTTGTTGTTCCTCCTTACCCGTATATTTTCCAGACAAGTTCTGCAGCACATTTTATGACACTGGCATCCTGACACTGGCAAAAAAGATTATTTAAATAGTTAACTGTTCCTTGTGTTTAAACTATTAGAACAATATAATATAGCCAACACTTTAAAGTGAAATACTTGCAATGTAGGGCAACTAATAGTGGGGTATGTGAATGCTGGCTTGCTTTACATTCATGCAAATAAGAATATTCTGGTTTTGACAAAAGGAAAATCATCCTTTTGGTCTGTTGAATAACAATGTCACACTTTGTTTATCATCAAAACTTTAGACTGGTAATATTGCAAAGCTGAGGGGAAATACACTTCAATCTGTTTTCTTCTATTGCACAGAGAAAATGTAGATTCCAATCCCATTTCAGTACTGTCTCATTATGAGTAATAATATAAAATATTGTTGCAGATCTATTAGATCTCTAAAAACTTTCACAATAAGTTGATATGATTGACCCGTGCAGGAAAAAATGATTCTTGTTGTGGCTTACCAAAGAAGGGGAAATAGGTTGACTCCTGCAAAATTGTAAACGGTAGCAGCATGATCAGTAGACCACAACAAAACACTAAAACAAAAACAGCATAGAAAACATCTGTCAAAGAGACACTTTTCTTTGAAAACAGCAGTTGACCCACTTGGGCTTTGCTAGATTTCTCACAGACCATCCGCAAAATGCACAGCTCATTCGGGGCAAAACAGGAACAATGAGGATATTTTCTTCCATAAGGCACTTCACTGCGTTTATTTAGATTTTGTGGGGTTTACTTGAAATCATCTTACAATAATGTAATCAGTTACATGTGCTCAGCACCCAATGGATTAAGAAGGGATACAAGGGACTACACACCACTCAGTCTGAGCTCCATTGCACACAAATTAGTAGCATCTATAAAAAGAAATGGAATCAGCAGATATATGTGAGCATGTCTTGGCTTGGAGGAAAGTTAACATGAATTTTTGGAGGAAAAGCACATCTCACAGAACTCTTAGTCAATATCAGGGTAAGAATGGTTCTGGCTGGAGTAAATGGATTTTCAAAAAACCTTCTTGTAAGGTCCCACAGGAGCGGCTGCTAATGAAACAAAGCTGTGGTCCAGAAGGATTGGTCATCTCTTGGACTGCCTGGTTCATGGAGAGAAAGCAATGAAGGGTGGCTATGATAGAGCTTCCAAACATCAGTACTGGGACCTGTGTTGTTCAACAGAATCATCAATTATTTCAAAATAATGACATTCACTGCTGATAACTTATAGATTATTATTAGCATTGTCAAGAGGAAGGTTGACAGTGAAGAGCTGGATGACAGCAGCTAAAATTCAGTGTTTATAAATGCAAGCTAATGATCAAAGGAAAAATAATCCTGACTATACTTGCATAACAATGAGCCCTGAAGAAGCTGTTACTATTCAGGAGAGATCTTGGAATCATTGTGGAAAGTTTTTGGGTGTGTCCACGTTAGTATTTTAATTTGGATCAGGTGCGTGCTTTTGAAGTGAATCTCCCTGTGATCCCCACTTACCACACCTCCGTTTGCATCACGGAACTGTCTTGGAGAGCAGCAACCGCACTCCTTTTAGATGAAACTAAACCAGAAAATGTGTTCCAGCTCCCAGTGGGTGTCCGGTCCATGGGACCAGACTGCTGCTTATCAGAGGTAAACCTCAGGCAAACAGAATTTGGGGCGTTATTAAAAAAGCAATTGAGAAAGAAACAGAAGATGTTCATCATCATGTCACTGGGGAATACCATTGCGCTGCCACATCTGCAGTACTGCACCCACTTCAAGAACAACACAGAACTAGAAATAATGCAGAGAAGGGCCAACAGGGTGTTGCACGGTATGGAATGGCTGTCAGTGAAAAGACACCTTATGGCAACTTTCTGGCCGGCAGAAGAAGTGATCGAGGAAGATAGGAATGGTATGGAAAAGACAAATGGGGTATGATTAGTTAATTCAGTGATGAATGCTATTTCTCATTGCACAAGAAAAGGCATGCAGCAAATGAAACAATTAGACAAATGACTGAGACAAAGAACGTACTTCTTCACAGTATTTAAATCTTGGAACTCATTGCCATGGGATGTTGTGGAAGTCAGAACTGTAAATGGTTTCAAAGAATGGTAAAACAGCTTCTTGGAGGATAGATCCCTTTATACCGTTCAGCACAAAAAAAAATCTTCAAACTGCTCATCACCAGAAGCTAGGAGGGTAGAGCAAGGGCAGCACTTACTCTACAGATGCTGTTTCCTAAGCATCCAATATTAATTTCTATTAGAATATACAAAATGTCAAGCTAGATGGACCTTTAGTCTGACCTCATATGGCAGTTCTTAGTCTTGTACTTAGTACAGTCACTAAACAAACATAGTTATTGACTAAGCTGGTGATAGGGTTTGCAGCGATCACAAACATACTTGCCTTACAAGTTATATTCTGGTATTCTAATTGCTAATCATTGTCACTTAGTATCCTTGCAAATCAAAGGACAAATCAGAATAGTGGGCTGTTTCCGACGCAGAAAAAGTCAGTTTCTGGTTTAGAGCCCGCACAGTCTAGACTTCCAACAAGATGCAACAGGTGGTAGAAGCACGCAAAAGAGTAGAAGGGAGGCGGTGATGAAGTAACACTGAATCAAACATGCATAATAAAAATGAAGTTTTGGCTCATTGCCATAGCTCTGGCTAATAACTGGGGTAAAAGGGATAAAGATAAACTAGTAAACATTTGAGTAAATGCATGGAATGAGGCAAATGATCGATTCTATTATTAGAAAGTTATATTAATGTAATAAAATGTTTCTAATGAACAAAACCAGCTTTCTCCTACTTCTGTGAGACAAGCATTTCAGCATCTAAAAGGGTTTATCCACAACTTTTCTGTACTTACATTTTTGGATGGTTTTGGTAGGCTTCCTTAATGCTGTACAGGGTTGTTAATACCCATTTATCAATCTTTAAAGACCTTACCTGAATATATGTTAAAAAGCCGCTAACTTTTAACAAACCCATCAAGTTGCTGTTATGCTGGGTTTCTTCCAGAAATGGTGATGACTAATATACTGAAATATGAATGGTATAATTTCTAACTGACCGCTCAACTTGTCGAATTCTTTCACAGATACAAAATTAACTTTTTTTTAACATCACTTCACAGTCACTGTAATGAGCAGCGGTATCATAAACTGTTCTCAGATGTCAGGCTAACTATGAAGGAGAGAGCTTTGCTTATGTATCTTATTAGTCTTAGTAAAATGAGAGATATTACAAAAAAAAGCGTGACATTACATAGTTTGTCAGAATACTGCTTTGTAAAATTTGTTTGACTATGCTAATGGAGTTTCCTTTAGATGTTATGCAGTTGAAATTTGCTCTAACAATATTTTTGAAACTGTTAAATCATTTCCTTTTGTTGGAGAAGGGACTGTTTTGCAAAATATAAATTCACTTTATCACATTAATACACCTGATGAATTTGTCTTTATGAAATGTTTTTGCGATAGGTTTCAGATGGTTTAGCACAGGAAATCTGACAGGAAAGGTGCTGGGGAATTCCTACTAAATATGGTTCACATGGAAAGAAAATTCACAGTAATGCTTACTGGGCTCTTAAATGGATTCTGAGAGTCTTAGAGTGCAAAGGTGTTGATCACAAAGTGTTTTGGTGATTAATGTAAGGGAGGAATAGGGGACTCCAGTGCAAATGCAAATGCACAAATTTAGGATGATGCAGCATCAGAAGACCTTCTTTGATGAGACGTGATTGAACTTATCTCTACCTAAGCAGAGGAAGTAGCAAACTTTTAGGTTCAGCAATGGTACAGCATAAGAGCATAGCTTCAAATTAAGTAGTAATGTGGCTCAAGTATTCAAAATCCATACAGGGACGAGGATGGAGATTTTCTGGATCCCAAATTAAGTACTAGGAATTATAGAGAAAACTACATTTATGTACTAAAATGTCTTCACATACGCCAGGGGAAGTAACCTGGAAGTTCTTGAAGGAATAAATACTGGCTGATGAGGGACAATTAAAACTTTGCAATTTGACTGCAGTAACTGGAAGCGAGACTGTAATAGAGTCTGGGTGCACAAACTCAAGCTTTTCACAATGCAAAAATGTGAAAAGTTGAAAAGCAGTTTCCACCACTGTGTAATTAAACATTACCGCTGGTTCATTATTTTCTTCTGTGCTGAAATGTCAGAATTGATGTACTGTAACAGTCAGAAAAGGAGATCGTAGAGACGATGAGCAACTTGACAATGTTTTATCCAAGTAGTCACTATTACATTCCTAATATGCAGTTTAATACATAATCATATACAGTATTTGATAGTCAGCAAAATACACCATAGTACGGAAACAGTGATAAAAGTAAAAGGAAACTGAAAGAAGCAATAGGTATCAGCTTCAGCTTTTTGGCAGCAGCAGAGGTGAATTTTTTTTTTTACAGGTTTTGGGGGTATTTTTTGTTTTTACAATGGAAATGCAAAATGACTGCTTTTCTGTATATATAAAAACAAAGTATGGGACAGGCAACTAAATAAAAAATAGACAATTCAGGCTGCAAAACTTAGTAACACTGAATGTTCCTGTTACTTACCCTTATGGCCTGCTAATGTCTTATGTACGATAAAAGCCCTGATCATCTGTGCACCGATGATACACAAAAGATGCAACAGAAACCCCAGAGAAAGCTGTTTGATAATGTATTTTTACATATACCAGGGAAATAGCATCTCTTTTACTTTACACCCACAGAAACACTCATGTTTCTTAATAAAATAAAAAGGGTGAGGCCCTTGGCCAGCTTTTGTGGCCTTCTCACTGCCACATTTTATTTGTCTCTTGATGTCAAGAGCGGCAATCGTCAATTAACAGTGGGAACCGTGGGTGTCTCAAAGCAAAATTGTTGGGCATCACAGAGCCGAGCAATGCCTGCAGAGCCCAGGTGGTTTGGATCAGCTCCTTCCTCTGACTTTCCTTTGGTTTAGAACTGGCTGGTTTGCACATAATACTGGTGTGTTAGTACCTTTCGGGAAGATGAGGTATAAATACACCATCAGGCTGCGCGGCGGGCAGGCTGCCTGCGTGACCTGACGGCAGCTAAGGAGTACCGGAGCTCTGCCCCTCCCGCGTCCTCAGTGAAGACCGTTCAGAGGCCTTTGGAAGGAGACTCATCCACCGCCCTCCTGCCATCCTCCCTGCTGCCTTCTCACCAGCAGCGAACGACCTCCGGTGCCTTTCCCAGGCACTGGCATGCCCTTGCATCAGATGACAGATGAAAGCAGGAGTGCCAAGGTGGCCTCGTCATCTCTCCCTGCTGACTAAGGCCTATGCAAACAGTATGTTGTATGGCATTTATCAAGTGGATCAAGATAACAAAAATTGCAGGCTCCAAGGAAGACACCCTTCTTTTTCTTCATTGTACACATCACAAGCTTTGGATTATTATTCTCATCAATCTTTCATTACACTGATAGAATGCACGTTCATCAAAGAACATCACGGCTCAACACTTGGACTGCCTGTTGTAGTTCATAATCTTGTATGAGCTGTTGTTCTTGCTGCCGCAGAAAGCTTCAAGCAACTGCTAGTAGAATTGGTGGAAGACTGCTGTTTCTCCCAGTTGAATAACGTGTCCCCTAGCTTTGTCATGAGCGCCACAAAGGATGCCGTATCTTTTTCCTGCATTGTTTGACCATCCTACGCTTTGGCTTTCTGACATGACATGACTTACAGTATTTCTAGTGAGTGCCAGTGATACCGCATTTCTCACTCTTAGAAGTGGTATCAAGTATTGCAGTGTGTGCATGGTTACCACTTATTGACAAGCTACTGTGGGCTGTGATTTGAATTGTTCTGCAACTGTGCTGCTGTTATTTTTTCTGCTTCATCCACTCATATCAAATACCACCGACAACCTGCTGTGTTTAGAAGACAAAGGCAGGTTTCTTTTTAACGTGAACTGGACTTTCTGTTTGTATCATGAACGATGCAGTTTTCTTCCCCTGCTATTAACTGCTGCTCTTGTAGCCTATTTAGTATACAGGGAAAAAAGTCTTGCTTACTGATCAATTATGACATGAAAACTACTCTTTTATTTCGGATATGCAATCTGCATTGCTGTTAGATCTTAGAGTATACACCCCTTGATTTTCTACAGTCCTTTTCAAGACGTGTGCAAAGTACAGTTCACAAACCAAGGACAACGTTCTTTAATGCTGTTTTATCCCCAGGTCGCAGGGCAGAATCCCTTAGGAAACTGAAATAATTTCTGCCTTAACTTATTAGTTATAGTAATAACTGCCTTAACACTTCTGTAAAATTTCTAGATTTCCTTATTAATTCCAGGGCTTGTGCAGCTGAGAACAGCTCTAACAGAACTTTCCCTAAATATCTTTCTTACTTCCCGTCCAGCTGCTGTTGCGCCTATTACCACCAAAAGGCAGCCATTCCAAGATCACAAGCATCTCGGTTAATGCAAAGCTGCAGTCTAATGGCAGCTGATCTTTCAAAGTGCAGGGTTACGCACTGAGGATGTTGTTTAGTACTGAGAATCACAAAGGGATGTTTTGGATGTGTATTTAAATGTATATACTTCTACAGGCATCGAGGGGATATCTGGGGATTGCCTACAGATATTTAGTATTTGATACATCACTTATTCAAGATTTGGAAAGTACTTGAGTAGTAAGCCTCAGGGTTAGCAGAGGAACTGTGTGATAAGCCTTAGATCTCGCAGAAGAACTGATAGCAAGACCTACCTTTTCATTCCCCCTCTGATTATACAGTAGTGTATTAGGGCTTTGCAGTGACAGACACGGTGTAATGGAGGGAGACAGAGGATGAACCAAGGCTGTTTTACAGCCAGTTTTGGGTTTTTTTTTTTTTTTCTTTTGAAGTGACTAGTCTTTAGCTCCATTTCTGAGAAGGTTACT